TTTGTTTTTCTTTCTTCTCAGCCTCCTCCTCTATTATCTCTTTCCTCATTCCCAACTATCTATGCTGTATAATATAATAATAATATAATATAATATAATACAATACAAACTGCTATATTTGTGTTTACCACTGATCAATAACAAGCAAGTATGTTAACTATTCTTTTCTTCTTAAGTTTCTTTTTCTTGTGGATGGTATAGTCAATCAATAAAGATTTGTTCTCAGTGATTATTAGAAGCCTTGGCTTGTTTCCCATAGCCCAAGTAGAAGAACAGGTAGAATCTGCAAAAGATGTTTCTGCTACAAATCAAAGGAGAAATGTTATACTTCTGGGCATAAATTTTTAAATTTAAGGGGAGGAGTTTTTAACCTTAAAAGTGAAACATCACAGTCTTCAACATCCAAAAGAAAGTGGATAGGCCATAGGTTAGGTTAGAAAGGGCTCTCAAACCATTCTACTGACTGACATAAGTAAATCATGCAAGATAACCAGCATCTACCAGGCCAAATTACCTAAAGAAAACACAAATTAGAAGTCTAAGGTTTAGTCTCTGCCCTTAATATTGAGGTAGAGACATGTATATCTCTAAAATGAAAAAAAAAAAGAAAAATCCATATCTGGCCCTTAATACTCAGTTCACAAAGAGTAGAACAAACAAACAATAAAGGCTGTAAGAGCTTATACATAGATTAGTATGAAAAGGAACAGTAGGATGGAATTCGTACGGGTAGAAAGCATTTCAGTTAGGAAGTAGAAGAGACAGGCAGAGCAGCTAGTTCTGCCAGAATGGATGGGGAAAAACAGGCAAATACAGAGTGGGCCAGATTGTAGCTCACACTTTGTCCCACAACCCCTCTGAGGCTGTCAGCCATTGCACAGATAAAGAAATGGCAGGGCAAAAAGCCTACCAGGTGGGAACCAGGTGACTTTCCTAATCACCTGAAAATTCATCCCTTATATTTATATAGCACTTTCACATGCATAATCTCATTTAATTTTCCCAACAACCTTAACTAAAATCTATAATTCGCAGTTACTTTTTCTCCCAACTAGACCAAACTAAGTCCAGGTAATAAAACCAAAGCTCAAATTCCACCAAAGATTTGAGCCCAAGATATTCAACTCCAGATATTCTCATTAGCTTTTTAAAAATGATGAAAATGATGAGGGGTAAGAAATTTCTCTCTACTGGTTTTTATTTTTATAGATTAAAAACCAAACCAAAGAAAGCTATTTGGTGGACCCTGTTGTTGCAAGACTATAAAATCCAACTTTTAACCTACCTTCTCTTTGAGAGGCTCGTGACATGTGTTTCTCAGATGAATTGGAATCATTATGATGACAAGGTGAACCAGAAACTCTAGGACCAGATGAACTTGATGAAGTGGTCAAATCTTAAAAATACAAAAAATTCTGACAATAAACCTAGCATAACTCTGGTAGTCACTCTTTTTAATTATCTACTTGAACCATACTGTTAAAATCCAAAAGAATGCTCACATAAAATTGACCTATAACTAGGACTGAGGAAGGCAGGATGGCTCTTTCAAGTGTTCTAAGGTCTAGTCCCTTTCTAAAATCTTTTATACCAAAGACTTGCTTATGTGAAATAAAAATAAACAACCAAATAAGCATAGGAGCATCTTTAGTTCCCCATCATTTCTGTATCAAGATGTAACAAGAAAATTCAATGAAAATGAAAACTAAGCTCTTAAGCCTGTTGTTTAATGTTAGAATAGAGTCTAAGCAACAGCCCCATTACTGGGAATATGAACAGATCCTTCCTTAAAGCATACCAAAAACTTCTATTATCACTCTAGAAATTATGTAAATATTCTCTCTTTTTAAGAAATGAGGCGGGGGGGGTCTCACTATGTTGCCCAGGCTGGACTTGAACTCCTGGGTTCAAGGGATCCTGCCACCTCAACCTTAGCCTCCCTAGTAGCTGGGACTATAGGCACATACTACTGTGCCTAGTTTATGTGAATACTCTTTGAAAAGCAATTCAAAACTTTACATTGAAATCTGTGGAAAAAATAAAATGAATATTGGATAGTAGAGTTTGATATATTACTCCAAACAACAAACTATTTCATTACACTTTTCTAGCGGCCCCACACCTCTGTTGCAAATTCTTACTAATCTAATTTCCTGTGATGTTATTTAGCATCAGAATTATCCTTGGGAAACTGAAAACCTTCTTGGCTGTTGAGTCAAAAATAGGCCAGCTAGACCATATAAAGCATGATTTCTCATTAAGCTAAACTTGATTATCATGTTTAACTCAAAAGGTAATTCTAAACTAAAAGCATTATACTTGCATATTTATGAAATCTCTTGTTCGCAATTAAGTTTGTAAAACTTAAATTTCTACTTTTAGCAGTTAAATTGGGCAACTATAGTACAATTATGCCTGCGCTTTCCGAAAGGAATCTTCAGAAGTCGCCCTGTGCAAAGATTCCAACCATTCGAAGCTACCTTTTAATAGCAATTTATGAGTATTCTGTGTTTCAAATGCTGAAGTCTTTCTGGGTTCTTGTTCATAAACACAATATTATAAATGACGGGTATGTCCCCAGACTATTCCTCTCAGTCCCAAAGGTAGATATAGTCTTTTTATCACATAATGTTGATAAAATACTTAAGTTTTTCTGAACCCTAAACCTAAATTCACTGAAGTCTAATGGAATCAGCAATGGAAGAAACAGGGCTTTAGGAAGAAAGCGTTGGGGTCATGAGATAAGATGGTACCGGTCACCTATATCGGGACATCTGGAAGTCTAGGATACAGTATAAACTTAAAACTGAAATTCTATATTGGCTATAACTTAAAAGCTCTGCTGGATTCCAGAAGGACTTAAGAAGAATGATACTACCTTGAGCAATTACTAATTTTTGAAATAGTTAATGATTCGGAAGTACTGATAAAGGATCCCCTGTTAGCAGAAAGCTAAAAGAAAATATTTTTCGAGTTAGCAGTTACTCTTCCTAGAGCATTTGTGATATGGAGGCACAAATTAATGCCATGTCAAAGACACAGATCATTATACTTGCTTGGGAAAAAATGCTATCATTGAACTTTCTAAAGAATGCCTTTTAATTTTCTTCCCCTCTTCCTGCTATCATTTTCAGAAGAGAAACAGATACTATGTCTGAGATTCTTGAGAAAAATCTTTTTTTAATCAAAAAAGAAAGGCTTACCTGAACTTGATGTAGTTCTTCTTGCTCTCAAAATGGGATAGCTGCCTACTTCTAAAGACTTGGTTAAGTCAAGATCATGTAAAATTAAGAGATAACCAGAGGATGTTGAAATCAACATTTTTGAACAATCTGGTGTTAATCTCATTCGCATGAGAAAACGTGTGTGGAAGAATTTCTTATGTGGACACCCATCTTCTGTACACCTACAGAAGAAATCAAACCAACAAAACCTAGAGTTATCATACAGTGTCAGTGACAGTTGTATTTTTTTTTTTTTTTGCCCTTCAAAATAGAATTTAGGAGGATGGGGAAAGGTTGGTCAACCGGTACAAAGTTACAGTTAGGAAGAATACGTTCCCGTGTTCTACTGCACAACAGGGTGACAATGGTTAAGATATAGTACATTACAAAACAGAAGAGTGACTTTTGCATGTCCTCACCACAAAGAAATGATAAATGCATGAGGTGATGATGGTCATGCTAAACACCCTGATCGGATCATTATACAACATATATATATTAAAACATCAAATTGTACCCCATAAATATGTACAATCACAATGTGTCAATTAAAAATATTTGAAACTTCAAAAAGAGACATCTTTTCA